ATTAACTACAGTCACCATGCTGTACATTACATCTCTAAGACTTATTTAGCTTTGACCACCTTCACTCATTTTACCCACCTTCTACCTCTGACAACCACCAATCTGTTCTCTGTATCTATGAGTTAAGAGGGTTTTGGTGGGGGATTTGTTTTAGATTTCATATATAAGCAAGATCATACAGTGTTTGTCGTTCTCTGTCTTATTTCACTAAGCATAATACCCTCAATGACTGTCTCTATTGTGACAGATGGCAGGATTACCTTCTTTTTTATGGCTGAATAATGTTTAATTGTATATAAACCACATTTTCTATATCCATTCATCCATCAGTGGACACTTAGGTTGTTTCCATGTCTTGGCTATTGTAAACAGTGCTGCATTCAACATGGGGATGCAGATATATTTTCCAATCAGTGTTTTTGCTTCCTTCAGAAATATACCCAGAAGTGGAATTGCTGAACCACCTAGTTGTTCTACTTTTAATTTTTTGAGGAACCTCCATACTGTTTTCCATAGTGACTACACCAGTTTACAGTCCCACCAACAGTGCACAAGGACTCCCTTTTCTCCACATCCTCACCAACACTCTTTACAGAGAATTTTTACTTTAAGTATTTTTCTCATTATGACTTTTCAGGATCCCAACCTAAATTGTGAAACCAGTTATTTTCCTCTTTTTAAGTCCAGTCTCTTAGCCCTGTAGTGGATAACGTTTTTCAAATTAGGAACTATGGCACAAAGTAGCAGTATAAGTTTTAATGTATTTGCCACTCCTCCCATCTTCCCCACTTCTCCACTCCCTCCCAGTCTCCTCCCCTTTATGCCACTGAGTCCTTCACACTGTGTCCTTCACACTGTGTGGTCCTTAGGGGCAGCTGCAAGAGTTCTGACTCTTCCAGGTGTAGCTTAAATATTTTACTCAAACTTGAATTTCAACTAGATGACATGATCTTTTTTAATGTAATAGGTTATAGTTCATATTCTTAAGTTTTTCTAATGCACTAAATGTCTCAAATGATTCATGTTCTTAATTTAGAACCCAAATTAAGTTTCTGCTACCTGTATTTTAATTTATCCCTTTGTTTATAGACAATATTTCCTTTGTAAAGCAACTTTAAACAGCTTTTTAAGTATTATTCAATTCTGCATTTAGTTCGGGTAATTTGAATTTCACAGTAAAAGGGGAAGGATCATAATAATTATTGTTTGTGTCTCAATAGAAAAGAAAAAGTGCCTAATTTTTATTTTTTAAAACCTTATATTCAATATCTTAAAATAACCTCTAGTGGAAAAGAATCTGAAAAACTGAATCACTTTTCTGTACAGCAGAAACTAACACAACATTGTAAATCAACTATACTTCAATTAAAAGAGAGAGGAAAAAACTTTAAATGCAATGTTCCATTTATGCTAAATGGCAGTTTACCTCAACTCTTAGCTTTAATGGGTTTAATAAATGAAGCAGCAATTCTATACTAGTCTCCTTAATTAATTTAACTGTGAAATATAATTGGCTTCTCATATTTGTCAAGATCCATCGTCTTTTTGTTTTGTCAATTTATGCCATGATCATTGTTAAAACTCACCAATTACCAATGAAAGAACCTTGTGAGACATATATCTGTCTAATTGGTTTAAATTGGATACTTGTGATATATTTTCATCATATAATTATACAGTTTCTTGTATTTAGTATTATCTAAAAACTTTAACAATCACTGAGATTTAAGTTCAGCATTAACTGTAATGATACTGAAACAAATTATTGTAATACTCCCAACAGAAAAATTTTGAAAGATACACACATTCATGCACATAGAGTATTTTCCTGCCTAATTGGCTATAAAGGCATAAAAGAAAGTCCTTGAAGGGGATAAGAAAGAGTTATTCTTCTAGGATCAAATGTATCTGTGTACCTAAAGTGTAGTCCATTGTACTTATAATACACGCAAGTCTGTGTATTGATTGGTACATTCTTTTAAATTGTTCATCCACCTTATTTTCTTCTTGAGTACTTGTAGAAAGGATGGTAACACTGATGATTGTTTTCTTTTGAATGTTCTTTTCTCCTTGTTTCACTTTTAGAACTATTTAGTATTTAAAATTAAGTGTGATGTATTAAAGCCTATTGTCTTATACTAAACTATGTTATGAAATTATTTCCAATGTGTTTGTACCAACAGGTTGGCGATAGTATTGTTCACAAAGCCAGAGAGACCTTGGAACGAGCTATTAAACTGGTGAATGATACCAAGAAGTGGGGTGCTAGGGTTGTATATGGTGATACTGACAGGTAATGAACTTTGTTTTATAGTTGTCTTTTTGCATCTCTTCAGATATTCATTTCAGTGTTTGAAATGGCTTAAGGGTAATCCTTCGTAAAACTAGAGTTCTACTTAAGTTCTTTCCAGCCCTTAAGAGACAGAAAATGTACATGTCCTGAGCCAGAGACTGAAGATTCCCATGGCACCTCTCCAGGTAGCTAAGTAGATAGAGATCTGTTAAAATTGTTTACACAGGAATGTAGTCTGTTTAAGGAAACAGTTTTTAATGTGAAGAATTCCTCAGACAGCTGCAGCTGTCTCAGTTTAAATATATACCTTAAAATAATCAAACTGTTTTTGAAAGACAGTTGCCAAAGGTATGAGTGTTTAACTTTACACTAGGCCGCAAAACCTGTTGACCTTCTTCTACAAATAGGACATACAGACAAATACAGTTTTCCACTTGATTCCAGAGGCTCACTGACTTCCTAAAGCCCATTATCCACAGACTCACAAAGGATAGGACTGCCTTTGAATCCTGAATTAATAACCTCAGCCTGCTTGCTTGCTTTGGTGTTTTTTAGGGCCCAGTTATTTTTGTAACATCTTATTTGTATGACTTATTAAAATTCTTCTAGAATATAGGCAATATGCAAATTTCTTGAAGTCTGAAATTTTTTTCGTATTGAAGGCTTACAGTCACAATGTGATCATTCTAAGAGCACTTGCATCAGGAGCTCTGATCACTTCACAGTCAAATGGAGCAATTGGAGATAATGCTTCTAATCATTGAAAATAGCTTCTAGGTAATCTTTAAACAGCATGTAATCTTTAAACAGCATTTAATCTTCTCTGGTTATTTAATGCATATGAAATCAGCATGATTATATTAATGGTGAATGAGACCTTGACTCATATAGCAGCTGTTACATTAACAACAGGTGGAAATAGTTTCAAGTTTTCCAGAACCTAATTATCCATAGTCTCTACTGTTTGACTTTGGGTATTTCACTGCTCTATAAAATGACTTCATCTGAGTAATCTAACAATATAAAAGTTTACTAGAACATAGTTCTGCTCCTTGTTGGCAGAGCTCCTCAAAATATTTAGGGAAGAGAAGAAAGTTAAACATTTAAATTGTTGAGTTTAATTCAGGGTCATACGCGTCAATGGTTGACAACACAGACCCAGCATCAGAAATTGACATGATTCTGCAAATGGCATTATGTTGTCGGTTTTTATGGCTGAATAGTATTCCATTGTATAAATATACCACCTCTTCTTTATCCAGTCATCTGTTGATGGACATTTAGGCTGTTTCCATGTTTGGCTATTGTAAATAGTGCTGATGTGAACATTGGGGTGCAGGTGTCTTTTTGAAGTAGGGTTCCTCCTGGATATATGCCCAGGAGCGGGATTCCTTGGTCATATGGTAAGTCTATTCCTAGTCTTTTGAAGAATCTCCATACTGTTTTCCACAGTGACTGCACCAAACTACATTCCTACCAGCAGTGTAGGAGGGTTCCCTTTTCTCATGGATGTCCCTGGAGGATGTCATTCTAAGTGAAGTAAGCCAGAAAGAGAAAGAAAAATACCATATGAGATCGCTCATATGTGGAATCTAAAAAAAAAAAGAGAGAACATAAATACAAAACAGAAACAGACTCATAGACATAGAATACAAACTTGTG